CTTCCCTCTAGTCTTTCACTGCTAAATTAGGGACGGCTAGCGCCGAAAGCCCTCGTGTAGCTTTGCGCGAAATTCATAACAAACAAACAAACTTTAAAGACCATCATTGTTAAAACTAAGAACCTATACTGTCAGTGTCCACTTGTTGCTGTTGTTGTTATTGTTGTTTTAATGCAGTTTTCCATATGCTAAGGTCTAAAAGGAAAACCGTCAAAATTTCCATTTACACTTACCGGGGTCGAAACCAAATAAACGTATATTTATGTACGTGTATAAAACTTCACTGAAAACGAATAATAGATGCATATTTGCATTTGTTTGTTTTACAGCAACGCAACATTGGGCTATCTGCTGTGTATACCGCGGGGAATCGAACACCGAGTTTTAGCTTTGAAAGTCATTAAGCTTACCACTGTCCCATCAGGGGACTACACTTACTGTCAGACAATTTACTTGTAACTGTTGAGGGAACTCGTACTTCATGCCTATATTTTGGATGACAAACAGAGATATGCAGAAAAATTACCCAAAATGTTTCTTTTAGAACTGTGCGTACAATGTGTGTACGAGAAACACAATGAGAAACATTTGGTTATTTTCCCAGATTATAAAAATCCCTTGACCCTATCTCTGTCCTGTGCATCACGTGTTATACACAGGACATAATGAGTATCATATGTGATATACAGCTACAATTACTTGATATGCAGCTGATTTTCGTGAACGTGACAATAGGAACTGTTTGATTTGGTTCAACGTATGAGATTAGAAAATTAGCTTCATATGTACATCATATGTGACGTTCAAAGCACATGTGTGAAAGATGGATAATAGGTTAAGTTACTTTCACTCAAGAGAAAATGTAAACCGAGAATTTATAGTTACTAAACATCTCTAGTCCATTCTCTTTAATAATACCAGAAGGATATGTGTTGGGTAAGTAGTCAAATAAGCGTATCCATAAAAATAATCACATGACCAAAACATGTGCATGGTTAAGGTTATCGTTTACCAAAGATATGTGAGGCTAGATACGCTGTGAAAGTAATTTAAAACCGTTTTTGTTTATTAGGTACACAACACACTGTTCTAAGCTATTGCTAGTTATTAATTCTACGTAGGTGCTATCAAGAGGCGTATATTAAACATCTAAGTGAATGTATTAAGATAGGAGAACTGGGCTAAAGAATTATAACAAGATCACCATTTCTTACTACTATCTACAAATAGACCGAACGTAGCCTAGTGGTGAGCGTGTTGGGCTGCGGGATTGAAGGTCCAGGATTTCAGCCAAGATATGCTGCTGATTACATTTCGCGCGCGACATTTAATCTCCCGTTCCGTTAAAAGTAACGACTAGGCAAGGGGTGCTACTGATTGGCTGTACCCATTCTTCTTTTCAGCAGTTTCTAAAGTAGATATCACTATGCCTAGACTTTAGGGGTTCCACACTTTGCTATTTAGCTCTTATACTTTAGGGGTTCCACACTTTGCTATTTAGCTCTTATATCGCATGAAATATTCTTCAAGTTGAAATTACTATATAGTATCAATAGGTGTTACACATACACACACACAAAAACACTTACGAAGTGTGTGTGTTTAAGTAGATGAGAAAATAGGGGAGATAATTATGATATTGCAACCTCCTTCACTGCAGAATATAATTAATCGATAATCGAGATTTACAACGTGGGGTATTTCACTCGTATGGAGATCCATTAGACCAATGAAAGTACAACAAATGTCTTAAAATGTCGTTCACAGAACCGCTTCAAACCGGAGGTACAACTAAGGCCATGCAAAGGTACGGGATAAGTCTAGCCTCCCAGCGAGACGCATTTATCTCACAGCAAGCCATAGGATAGTTAACTTGCAATTGTGCCAAGAAAGAGACCACTTGACCAAAGATAGTTGGACTTTTTACACAGGAGTAGAGTTTTCCTGAAACCAGAAAACAGACGTACATTCATTCGGGAAGAATTCGGAACCAGATCCAACCCTATTTTAAAATAAAATTGCAGCACATATAACAGCAGTGGAAGCTTTAGTGGGCAAACCGACTCCCTACATTCTTTACACACGTGCTGAATGCTGTTATTACTCTGACACATTATAGGGACCACATCTTACAAACTCTTGTGTTGCCATACGCTGATGCAACTGGTCATGACTTAATCCTATTCTATGATAACTCCCCCAAATTCGCTAAACTGGCCGACATATATACATATACACATATTCCTTTAAGAGGTTGAACAAATAGAGTGGCCTACATGATCCCAGGCCTTCAATCCCATCGATCATGTGTAGAATGATTTTAAGAAACGCGTCACATTCCACCAAGTGTTTAAAAACACTATATATCACCTGAAATATCAGCTGAACGATCAATCGTGTTTACATTTGAGATCACATAACAGAATATGAGATGCCTGATTTACATGACAAATACGAGAGGGAAAGCTAGCGACAATATATTAAACCAGTAGTTTTACTTTGTCCTAGATAAAACATTGAAAAATTCAATTATTCTTTCATTACATTCTGACGTCCAAAAGCTAGGACTACTATTGGTAACGTATTCGCTACTGCTGGTTACTGGATTAGATGCAGAAAGAACACAGATTTACCATAATTCTTTTGCGTATTTTTAGAGAAGCTCCCTGTATTGTGTAAAAAGAAAGATGGGGTTAATGTTTAGCTCATTTCTCTAAAAGCAGTACTCCAGTTAAAACCTTAAATGTAAAAACTAAGACCAGCTGCTGTTTTGTTATTGGTGAAATATCCTCTTATCTTCTAAGTGACTTGACTTTATAAGTTGATGCAAATATACCGCTTGGACTGTCATACCACTGATAATGATTCACATAACACAGTTTCATTACTTAGACAGTACATAGAAACAATTCTTCAAATCGGCAGAAAAAAGCAAAATATTCTAAATTCATTGGGTGACTTGAAACTATAGCTTAAAACATTTTTTTCTGTAAAGTAATTGTTACTTTCCTGTTAATTGTAAATGTAAGTTCTACTGCTTGGTTATTAGTAAGTCACTGATTCTGACGTAGAAAACTAATTTTTCCTTTTTTTTTACAGGTGTTAAAGAAGTCAACACTAGTAATATGCTAAAAAAGTGTGGAATATTCATCTGTAAGTAAAAATTTAATATTCAAGGACAGTAGTCCTACTACATTATAGTTCTAAATGTGACATCTAAATTGTTTATACGAAATGATATATATTTTAAAATGTTAACAATCTTAATTCCACAACGTTGTTCTGAATTGCAATGTACAAATGAAGAGAAATGTGGCAAAAACAAAAAGGAAAACGTGCAGTTAGGATTATTGTTTCACAAATATTAGGCCTATTAGTTTTTAATGTTTCGCCATCTTTCGGTGTTTAAACCGTAATGACGTTGGTAAATTCTAATTTCACATATTCACAGTTTAACATTTAAATCATAAATTCTGAAAAACTTTAACATAAGAAGCAAACATTTTAACACCTCTAATTTGAAAATTGTTTCAAATTATAATTTAACACAGTCTCTGTTTAACGCTTAGCATAATTTTTACAACTTGAAAACACTTTGGCCTACCAAAATTTTTATAGAAGTTTAAGAAAAGACAAGCATTAAAAATAGAATACTTTTACAAAATAGCTTTGTAGCACTTCAAATTAGCAAAGACAGTTTGTAGGACTTGATCCTTACAAAATGCTATGTAATAATTAAACTTTACGTGTAAGACTTGTGAGGCACAATAACGCAACAAAAATACTTAAAAGATCTTCAAATGAAATAAATACTTTGTTACACATTAACTTAAGAAACCAGCTTTTTAATCTTAAAAACGTTTTTTTATAACACTTGTAGTTTCTCACACTTCATGCCACTTTGTCCTTACAAAAACAATACCTAATCGGTTTCACCTTTATATCACTTTCATAAATAAACTTTACATCAGTTTCATAAATACACTTTATATCAGTTTATCCTTACAAAACTACTTAACTGGTTTCACAAATACACATTATATCACTTCCCAAAAACACTTTATATCAGTTCCACAACACATTTTATATCAGTTCCACAAACAAAGTTTATATCACTTCTACCACACACTTTATATCACTTTCACAAACACACTTTTATCAGTTCCACAACACGCTTTATATCACTTTCACAAACACACTTTATATCAGTTCTACAGCACACTTTATATCCCTTTCACAAACACACTTTATATCAGTTCCACAACACACTTTATATCACTTTCACAAACACACTAGATTAATTTCACAAAACATTTTAAATCATTTTAACAATCACATTTTATATCACTTTCACAAATACACATTGTATAAGTTTTTCAAATACACATTATATACGTTTTTCAAATGCACTTTATATTAGTTTTTCAAATGCACTTTATATCACTTTCACAAACACACCTTACATGACTTTGACAAAAACACAATTTTAACACTTGATAACATATCCGCCGTTCATACAAGAATGTAACTAATTCTTCCTCATCGTTTTATTAACAGATTTTTTTCAGCAGCTCTATACTTTCTATTAGCGGACACATTTCTGAGAAATGATGAATTGCTTGAGAGAGCCGTAACACTAAAATTACTTATAAGACGTCGCTCTAACATTTCGTCTACTAACTTGTCCAGACCGTTATTACGTGCTGTTTTTCTTCTGTTTTAAATAAATAATAATTGTAAATTTATTAATATTTTGTCTTTACTTAGCTATCACGTATTCCGGAAGGAAACACATTGTGTTTTATGGTTCTAATCATTTACTTTAACAGTCGTGTTGTAAAAAAAAACAAAATTGTAAGGAAATATGTATTAAATTCTAAGGACAATATAATAAAATATAAACATACAAAGCTAATAGAAACGTTCAAAATAGTTATAACTCTCAGTCCTTGAGGAGGTGAGTTCACCCATCACTAAAGTTACCTACCCTACCTCTGCTACACGACCAGGTTTGCGATTCCGAAGCTAAAATATTACTTCTAAAGGCTAAAACCCAGGCCATGCTGTCAAGTGGGGATTGCTAGAATCTAGATGAACGACTTGGCATATCGGAAATGTGAGTAGAATTTCCTGAAGCTACGGAAAGCATGCAATTCAAATAGCTATATTCCTCTAACATAAGTACATATCATTCGAATAAATTTTATAATTCAAAAACCAGTTTGAATTATTGATCTGGATAAGTATCGCCGTGGTAGCCGGATTGGTAGTAACGTGGTAGCATGATACGGGTTGGTTTTTATTTTTGAACTACAGAACATACAGAAGATATTTATTTGGGTCAAACTACTGTTACTATTTTTTACATTCCTATATATTTGGAATATTACTGTACTTACCTTTACGGCTTCAACGTTAGATAATATTTCTGTTTCAGTGTTTTAACGTGTACATTTTTACACCTTTACGCAATAAATACCTGTGTATTTTATGATTATTTCATTTGACTAAAAATGCAGAAAATGTATTTCTGCAAAACGTTTTTACCCGACTGTATATACATGCAAGTCGTTAGAGTGTTTCTTATATATAATTACTTATACCTAGGACTTAAGCACGTTTTTTGAAATGATTTTGAATATTCAAATTAGTAAATCAGGTGAGAACCACCATGTCTAAAGTTGCGGTGGAACGGACGTATCAAAATTACGTTTCCATATTGTTCAGTATTTCGTAAGTAGTGTTATACAACCGAAAACTGATTGCTTTTGGGAAGGAAATTTTAAAACCCATCCAAGCGAAAGATATTTATACACTTTATACTTAATGGCATTGGAAAACAAAAAGATATGGATGAATTTGGGGTACCAAGACCAATCAGAAAGAGACCACCAACAAGTCGTACCCAAGCCGTGAAAAATGGAACATCTAAAAACAGAGAAGGATTTGCAAATACAAAAATCATTGGAAAAACCGTTCACGTTTTCCAGGCAATAATACGCAAAATAATCAAGAAGGATCTTCATGACATATCTCTTCACCATCGCACACCTCAAGCAGCTGGAGATTGAAATGGATATTCATATTGTTCCTCAGGAGTATACAACTACTCGCCTATGGATTTTTGTGCGATCGAACTGTTGTAACCGTCGTCCTCTTGTACTAGATGGATTATGCAAAGCCTGCAAGGAGGAGGGTTGTATCTTTGACATGACAGCTTCACGATATGGACTATAACGACGTAGTGAAGCTCCAAAATCAGATTATTATTAGGTACTCAACTTTTGAACATACAATTTTCGAACGTTTTATAAGCAGAATCGCTTCATTCTACAAGATATAACTATTTCTAGTATGCTTCGACTTATCCCCTCTGTCTATGTTTCTAACACCAGTTCAATTTACAATCTATGGTTATGTTTCTTATAAACTGTGAATATGTTTATTACACAGAGTAGATTTATATAAGGAATTTTTACAATACACTTTTACGATATTGTTATATAGTTTTCTGTATTACGCTTGTAGGTGTATACAGTTCGAAGCTTATGCAAGTTTTTAACACACGCCTATTTCCTTACAGCTTTTCTGGGCATACTTTTTTGTCCAAGACATAAAGCAAGACAGCTACTGGTAACAGAAGAGCTCACCAGTGATAACCTTCGAAATGTCCATGCTTTTACCGAATTTGGTGAGCGAGATAGGGTTCAAAAGCTCTTATTTACCGCCACGCCCATGCTTTATAGAACAGATAAAGCTGATGACCACTCTGCACACAAACAGAATATCGCAGTTTCTCAACTTCCAAGTCGGGAAATGATAACGAGCTCACCAGAGGTCACTGTCGCTCTTCCAGATTTAGGCAATGACGAAAAGGTTAATACTAATGTGTTGAACTCTTCGGAAAATGAAGAAACATATTACTTAAACTCTAGCTACGTGAGAGAATACAATAGTTTTAAACACAAAATCGTATCAGAATTAGAAGAAAAATCATTAATCGCTGGAACTCATCCGTTTTTAAAAAATATCATCCAAAATTCATCACATATTAGAATCGTGGGAGATATGAACCCTTCTCTCACTAGGGAGCGTTACTGCGAAGAAATTGAAGAAAAGGGAGTCTTGTGGAATACAACTGAAGGGGGCGTTGTGGTGTTAACGTCTTGTCCAGATGGCTACATAGGAAGCGTTTACAGAAGCTGTTATACAAGTGGCCGATGGGGACACATTCATTTCTTTGACTGTCGTTTCAGAAAATTACTGGAATTAAAAACACTGGTAGGTAATTATGTTTCTAAGCTGTTGAATTATTACGTTCTCTTTGCTCTAGCCTACAAATGCCAAAAACAAAACTATAAGATATTTTATGTGTAAAGCCATTTCTCTACTGAAATTCTCAGAACAGAAAAACTGTTTGTCTCTCTTTATTGAAACTCTTCATTAAAGCAAAACGTAAAGAAAATTTTAAATTGAATAAACTTAATGACCTCTTCAAACGGATTATAAAGTGAAAATAGTGAAAATCAACAAATTGTGAGACTTTATCTTGTTATTTGGTAGTTGTTTTTTCAATTCAGAAACTCCTAGAGTTTCTAAAACTAAATAAACTGTTTGTTTTAATATTTTATCTAAACAGAAATAGTATAGCATGAAATTAGTAAAATTAGAGAAATTTTCGGATTTGATCATTTTTTTTATTCTTTCTAATTAGAAAGCAGAACTTGAACCTACTAAAACTCGACAAGCTGTGGGATTTTAGGTTTCCGTTAAGTATAAAAAATGATCAAACTGACATGTCTCAGTTTTAATCAGTAAATCATTTTTACTTTTTCCTGCTATAGCTATATTGTTTAATGAACTAAGTAAAAATGACCTGCTGCTCAAACAATATAGCTACAGTAGGGCAAAGTAAAAAGAATTTACTGATTAAACAATACATTTATAGCAGAACTAACTAAAAATGATCTACTGGTTAAACAATAAAGCTATAACAGGACTAAAAAATGATCTACTGTGCTATAGTTGTATTGTCTGAGCAGTAGCAGTTTATCACTTTTGGTTAGTCCTTCTATAGCTGTATTATTTAAGCATCAGGTCATTTTTACTTATTCTTACGGTAGCTGTATTGTTTAAGAATCAGGTCATTTTTACTTAGTCTTACGATAGCTGTATTGTTTAAGCATTAGGTCATTTTTATTTAGTACTGTTACGTCTCTATTGATTAATCAGTAGGACATTTTTGCTTAGTACTGCTATAGATGTATCATTTAAACAGTAGGTAATTTTTACTTAATCTTTCGATAGCAATTTTCTTTGAGCTGTAGATCATTTTTACTTAGCCCTGCTATAGCTGTATTGTTTAAGTAGCAGGACATTTTTATTCACTCCTGATATAGTTGTATTTTATCAAAAGTAGGTCATTTCCACTTAGTACTCTATTAGGGTACTGCTCAGTAGGTCATTTTTACTTAGCCCTGATATAGCTGTATTGTTAATCATTAGATCATTTTTACCTAGTCCTGCTATGACTGTGTTGTTTAATTACCAGATCATTTTCATTTGTCCTGGTGCGTCTCTATTGTTTAAGCAGTTGGTTATTTTTAGTTAGTCCTTCTATAGCTGTATTTTTTAATCAGTATATCATTTTCTCTTAGTCCTGCTATATCTGTATTGTTTAAGCATTAGATCACTTTTATTTAGTCTTATTATATCTGTATTGTTTGAGCGGTAGTTCATTTTTATTTAGTCTTGCTATGGCTGTATTGTGCAGTAGGTTATTTTTACTTAATCATTCTATGGCTGTATTGGTTAAGCATTAGATCATTTTTATTTAGTCCTGCTATAATTGTACTGTTTAATCAGTAGGTCATTTTTCATCCAACTGCAAATAGAAACACAAACATTACTATTAATTTTGTTAAGGAGGTTAATGTGAGCAGTTCCCTCGCATGATACTTTCAGTAAAATGCTGTACATTTTGCCTTCACTTGTTCATTATCAAACTTATCTTACCGATGCAAGCATTTACTGATTTTATTATAACTCGGTCCTGCGAAACTAAAAATTATATTCTCAGCTATGAAAATCACATTTTCTAATTGTGTGCAAGTGCTCCTTTTTTTTTAATATTCTAATGTATTTATCAACGGAAAATTACCAGCGCTTCTGAGTTATTCTAGCTATCAAAGATTAAAAAACCAAAGAAATAATTGAGTGCAGAAAGAAGTTTTTGACGGTCCATTTTTGTTTTTCAGTAAAAATCAATTATAACGCCCTTTAAGATTGCTAGTGCAAGTCTATATGCTCTTTATAACAGTCTCATAAGCAATAAAATGTCATTTTGTGCTCGAAGTAATTTGGAATAAATCAAATTAAATCTCACCTAGGTTTTAAAGGTCGTATTCTAATTCCTTGCACTCGGGGGAGGGGGGAAGTCACGAAAAATGTTACAAATAATTTTACTTTTCGGTTAAAAAGCTATGTGAACAATTAAATAACAAAATTAAGTAACATTTTTGGGCTATCTGCCGTATCCACCGCGGGCAATTTTATCCCGGATGTTAGAGTTCTAAGTCCATAGATTTACCGCTACCCCACCGGGGGATTTAAATAACAAGCCCTTCCATTGAACTAATGAATAAAACAGACATGTAGATGATAATTTCAAGAAAATACTAATAGCTAGTAATGTTTCTTAATTATTGAAACTTCTATACCTCCTATCATTAAGGTATTCTGAGTTTGTTTGTTTAGGATCGGGTATGGGTAATTTGTTGAATTGTTCATCCGATGGCACATAGCTCTCGTTTCTTTGCTGTAAAATATCGCTCCGCTACGCAATTTGAGGCTGAGGTTGCGTTATATAAATTTTGATGTTCGACTCCCACTTCAATCAGATAAGAACAGGTGGTGTGTTTTCTAGATTTGCTGCCTTCCATTAAAGCCATGATTTCCAATCAGAAAATACCTGCAAAGTTAGTCCTAATGTATCTTTACGTGAACACATAAAATTAAATTATTGTTTTATTATTTGTTTTTAAGAAGTTCCACTTATCCTGAAATCGAGAAATTTGAATAAAACAAACAAACCATATTTTAATGTCGCTACATCGGTTGTGTGTTTGGTTCTATTTTAAAAATTAATCGAGTAATATGATGTGACTGTTAGTTCGGGCCTGTCATGGCCAGGTGGTTAGAGTGCTTGACTCGCAATCTGAGGGTTACGGGTTCGACTCCCCGTCCCACCAAACATGCTCGCCCTTTCAGCCGTAGGGTCATTATAATGTGACAGTCAATCCAACTATTCGTTGGTAAAATAGAATTCACTGAATATTTAAAAATTTTCAGAGACAATGATTTGATGAAAGTGTCTAGTTAAGATCTGATAAAATAATAATTTAGTTTATTTTGAGCTTATACTAATATGTTTTCACACATATTGTGCTACTGTATATTAAAAGAGTAAAAAATATACATAAGATTGCTTGAATATTTTTCAATACTTGCTTCGTGAGTCGCTATAAAGACGTCTCCCGGTGGATCAGTAGTAACCGTGATAGCTTATAATACTAAAATTCGGGTTTCAATTCTTGCATCAGACACAGCGCTGTTAGCTCATTGTGCACCTTTACGCTGTAATAAAAACAACCCCAAGAAAATTTTCGAAAAATTCAATCTTGTTAAACAGGAGGCAAAGCTAACCTGTTGAATGTTTTTGCAATGCAGTTAACAATAAAATAAATCACACGATATATGACCCTCCCCATCCAGTGGCTCAGCAGTAAGTCTGAATGCTTATAACGTTGAAAACCGAGTTTTGATACCCTTGGATGGCACTGCACAGATATACCATTGTGTAGCTTTGTGTTTAATATAAAAACAAACTAACAGTTTGTTTGATTGTTTTTGAATTTCGCGCAAAGCTACACGGGGAGCTATCTGCGCTAGCCATCCCTAAGTTAGCAGTGTTAGACTAGAGAGAGGGAACCACCCACAGCCAGCTGTTTGGCTGATACTCAGTAAAGGTTGTATATTTATCTAGGTGGGCCAACTTTGATAATAGACAACAACAAAAGTATGGGAAAATATGATAATAAAACTAACCCTAATGTTCGCGATAAAAGTCACGCTACACTGCAGCTTTATCTCCTACATTCTTCTTCGTGGACAAATAAAAAGACAGCGCAGTCGAACATGATGTTTATCATGAAGATCTGAACATTTGGATTTCTGTGATTCGCCACCGGATGCTCTGGATTTAGGAGCCGGCGAGAAGGATTTGAATCCGTGGGTAGCACCAAATATTGTCCTAACTTTAATCTATAGATGCGTTATAACAGTTACAGTCAATCCCTTATTGTGGATGATGGGTGGTAGAGCGCTGTTGCCTGGCTGTTTTTGTTCTAATCAATAGTTTAAAATTAACAAGGTGGCTGACAGCCTCGTTAGTTTTGCTATAAATACAAACATATATGCTTCGCCACCTTTGGTCGTTAGTACTGCAGCATGTTGTAACACTAATTACTATATATCATGACGCCAATAAAATATGAATAAATGGGAAACTGAACATCTTAATAGCTATCTTATGATTTTTTTCGTCTATTTAAGTTTACAGTTGTCTACTATATCTAGTTAAGGCATTTTATTAAATATGATATTTTTAAAACCAACTAGTTCCATTAATTTTCAAATTTTGTATACTCCCGAAATGTCAACAATTTCTGGTGTTTTTCGGCTTTTGTCGACTAGTTCTATTTTGCTATATTACAACAAACATTTCTACGTATATTTTGTTTTTTGTTGTTGCTTTTCGTGCATAGTTAAACGTGTTTACCTTATCTTAGTTTTCCACATATATTTCATCTTATTCTGGTATGTTGATAATATATGCCTCATGAGAGTATATCCAAAAATATCTGTCCTATTTTTGTATGTTGACAGTATATGCCTCGTTTCTGTATATCCCAAAATATCTGTATTATTTTGGTATGTTGATAGTATATGCTTGGTTTTAGTATATCCAAAAATATCTGTCTTATTTTCAACATACCAAAATAAGACAGATATTTTTGGATATACAGAAACCAGGCATATACTGTCAACATACCAAAGTATACGCCTGGTTTTAGTAAATCCAAAAATATCTGTCTTATTTTGTGTGTTGAAAATGTTTCCGTTATATACTAAAGTATATCCGCAAATATTTATCTTATTCTTGGGTGTTCGAAGTGTTTGCGCCATTATATGCACAAATATCGATTTTATTCCAGTGTGTTTAGTTATTTCAATGTATCCACAAGCATTGGTCTTGTTCTCATATTTTTTTAAAAGTACTAGTCTAAATTTGTTGTGTTCACCAGTCTCTGACTTATCTGAAATGTTCAAAGGTTTTGATTTTTTCTGGTATGTCGATCCATCTTGATCGTGATATGGGAGGGTCAGGTGCTATGTAGACCTCTTCTTCCCTCCAGCATTGATGTTGTTACGATCCATTTAAGTCGGCACAGTTAAGTTAAGAGCATTGTTCAATGCTAAACATCACATAAATGAGGGTTCCATATTTATCTATTAGTTCGTTCTTGTTTAAGTTTATCTGGAAGTTTGTGACCGATTTATTCAGGAGTCTGTCGTAGACTGGCTATATGTCCACATAATTGTGTAGGAAAACTGAACTTGTTGTGTGTGGAGCTTCAAATGCTGTAGTAAGAACTGAGTTTTGTATAATTTGTAATTTCTGTTTAATTATGTGTAGTGTAACGTTAATCCAAGCCTCTGGTATGTCAATAAATGTTTGTTGTTTCTTTTATTCCCGTGAAGTTACACAAGTGCTACCAATAGAGGTCGCTAATTTTGAAGGGATAGACAAAATGGATATAGGCTAAGTAGCAAGAACAGCTACTTGCTCTATCCTATTCGAATAGTCTAATTTAACTGAACAAGGATCAACAACTGACCATTTGACCACCCTCGGTCTATCAACAGATGTATGTTTTATTGAGTATCTTTATATATTTTGTACTCTTGGTGTATTGTTAAATTGGTTTTATTAGTTATGTTTCGTTACATCTTTTTCTTACTTTCTAGTGTTACGTCTGTGTTCGTTTGTTAAATTTCCCGTAAAAAATCTTTCCGAAAAACTTCAGCGATACAAAGCCTTTCTTAAATAAAACTAGTTTATTCTTTCTCAATACAACTTTGCAATACACTTAATTTCCACAGTCACTTTAACTTAAACACACGCTATAATTCACAATGATTTACACACTTTACTTACGGCTTGACTCGATTATCTGTCTATATCTTCAATCTCTCTATCTGCTATTCCGGTTCCGATTCATTGTCTGCTTATATACAAGAATAGAGGGCGCGTAGAAAAGACTAGAGTTGCCACGAACAGACATGATCCTTCTAGAATCTCATAACGTGTTACTAGCGTCACGTGACTTCCGCTGTCGTAACACTAGGATTTCTTTTTCACTACGTGTTTATATTATATTTGATGTACCATTACATTGTTTGTGTTTCGTACTTTTAGTTTATATCATTACATTTTGCACATTTTAGTATATCGTTTTTTGTTTTTTTTTGCCTATACCTGCATATTTTTACCTTCAGGTTACTGTTACACTCATAGAGAACCATTTAACAAAGATACCCAACACACTAATACTATTTCATGTTATGTTAGGATTTTAATTTCAGTGATCAAGCACATACAGCTTAATCATCGGGGTATTTTGTTATTGTTTTGAATGAAGGATTCGCCATGGTCCTCGTTGAATTCATTTTCTACTTTCGGTTTATCGTTAACTGTTAAACGACTGGTTTACTAACGAATATTAAGCCTAATGTGGGCCACGATAGGACGTTCGAAACATCACTCGGGTATATTTTGTCAAGTAAATTACGTGGGTTGTCCAACTCATTTATTTTTGTGTGTTTGTCTGTTTGGTTAAAAAAAAGTTGTGTAAAGGCGATCGCATGGATCAATTTCTGAATTATAGCTCAATGAGCCCTCTATCTTACCACTGAACCATCGGGGACCACTCATTTTAATAATAAAAAAAAATTATGTTTGCGTATTTTCATATTTTCTATATTTTCAGCTTGACTATCACCTGGTGAAAAAACTTTGGGACGGACTACACTATGTCATGGAAGAACTGACTAGCATGCTAGGATCCCATAAGATATACAGCTTAATGGATCGCCTGGAGGCTATGTGCATGGTATCTGACGTCATGAGAGCTGAAACTGATCTCATCTTAAACAACTGCCTAGACGTGACCTACATTAAGGTAAATGTTTCTTTAACAATGAAGTTGTCTTTTGTTATATCATATTATATTTATTATATAATAAAATTAAGTACTTATGAATTTCAACCCTAATGCAAACTAAATTATCATCATTATTTTGCATTGTTATTAATTTCCATTTTTTACTGTGGGACATTGATATTTTCGAGCACTGAGTAAGATGTGACATCAATAATGTTACGACAGCGGAAATCATGTGACGCTGGTAACACATCATAAGTTTTTAGAAGGATCATAACTTTTCCTGGCAACTCTAGTCTTTTCTAGGCGCCCTCTATTTAGTATATAAGCCCGGCAAATAAAGCGGAAAGATAATTACAGATAGATAGATGTAGAGACAGATAACTGAGTCAAGCAAGCGGTAGTGACGGCAATATAAAGCGTGTGCTTTGTTATCGAGATTGCAAACGTATTGACTGTGGAAATTCTGTGTATTACAAA